GTAAAATATGAGAACAGATATTCATAGGCATACATAGTAACATACTATAGAAATTAAACTTTCTATTTAACCGAAAACAATTTTATCAAATAGAAGTTTCATTTAATAAAAATGAAAATGTAAAATTAGAGAGAGGCCTAAATATGAAAATTTGTAAATCTAAGGGACAAGTTTATTAAATGACATGCTAACAACAATGATTTGGGTTTGAAAAACACATTCTTATCTGAGAACATCTTGCAAAATAAAAGCAAAGCTCATGAACAGCTGCAGACAAAAAACATATCTAAATTAAGCCATGAAAGAGTTAGTGGACCACAGTTGAAGAAAACAGATGTACATCTCTACAATATATGATGCCTACATTGCTATATTGGATTACAAGTTCATTAAACATCTGTGTCCAATTCTTCGAGGTACTTTCTTTTTTTTTTTTGGTTCTTTCTTGTTCAAAATACTTTTAAAAAGAAAAAAAACACTATGCCATTGTTTAAATTTTAATTATTCTTATTTTTGCATCTCTACTGCTATATGTAAAAAGGAAAAAAAAAAGAAAAGAAACTTCCAAAGTCAGGATTCTATGCAAGACATTTTAATTCTAAAATGCTGGTTCAAGAAAATGTGGCTTGAAAAATCAAAAAATCACTGTTTAAACAACTTGGGTTTAAGTAGGAATATCTGAAAAAATGTTGGATTATTTTAGGAAGCATACTTGCTTCTTGTTTAATTATGTAATTAGAATTTTCCAGCATCCAGGCTCAAAAATTCTATGTACCAAAGAATTGTATTCTATATGTACCAAAGTTGGGAGAGGATCTAGAATATATTATAAACAATATTGCCAAGCCACAAAGATGACTCTATCACCTGTAAGTTACAGTGTCTAATGCTCCCTCTGACATGTAACAGACCTACTAGACACCAACCTCACTGATGTATATATACAAGGCAAGGCTGACAGCAAGATAATGCAAACTCTCAAATTACACCTTTGTGCAGAGAAAAAGAAATTTCTTATCCATCACATGCTGGACACATGCGTTTTTTTCCCTTTCTGAAGGGTTTCTGAAAGCATCTCAGTTGCAAAGAACATACCCTTTTCATCTCAGGTTCCAGTGACTCAGTATTGCTTACATGACACTGACTTCCTGATAGAGGCAGAGATCATTCTTGACCAAACCCAAAAAAGTATCACAACAAGAGCCCAGGGTCAGGGTCACACAGTGGATGCTGGAATTATGAGAGGTTTGTCAGGTAGGAATTGGAGCCACAAAAGAAACAATTTCTGCCAGCAACACCAGCAGAGGCAAAAAAAAAAAAAAAAAGAAAATGCCCTGGCTTCTCCTTTCATAATTCTCCCATTAGTGTTTCCCATTAGATTCCTAAGCCCAAGTGAAGTTGGCTGTCACAGGAGCCAAGAAAAAGCCACCTGCAGTGTTAGCCCTTCTCCATCAGACAGCAGAAAACAGAAGAAGGGTATAAAATGAATCTCAGGGAAACCAAGCCCAAGATCAGCACACCTTTCAATAAAGTTTCCATCATAATTGTGATAATCTCATAAATTCACTCAACCTAGCTAGGTTTTTGTTATTGTACCAACTGGCTCTAAGATTTCAATTTCATATTAATACTCCTCTTGAGAGTCCCTTGGCCTGCAAGGAGATCAAATCAGTCCAACCTAAAGGAAATCAGTTCTGAATATTCACTGGAAGGATTGATGATGAAGCTGAAACTCATATACTTTGGCCACCTGATGCGAAGAGCAGACCCACTGGGAAAGGCTCTGACGCTGAGAAAGACTGAGGGCAGGTGGAAAAGGAGATAACAGAGGACAAGATGGTTGGATGGTATCACCAACTCAATGTGCATGAGTTTGAGCAAACTCCTGCAGACAGTGAAGGACAGGGAAGTCTGGTGTGCTGCAGTCCACGGGGTTAAAAATCACTGTTTAAACAACTTGGGTTTAAGTAGGAATATCTGAAAAAATGTTGGATTATTTTAGGAAGCATACTTGCTTCTTGTTTAATTATGTAATTAGAATTTTCCAGCATCCAGGCTCAAAAATTCTATGTACCAAAGAATTGTATTGTATATGTACCAAAGTTGGGAGAGGATCTAGAATATATTATAAACGATATTGCCAAGCCACAAAGATGACTCTATCACCTGTAAGTTACAGTGTCTAATGCTCCCTCTGACATGTAACAGACCTACTAGACACCAACCTCACTGATGTATATATACAAGGCAAGGCTGACAGCAAGATAATGCAAACTCTCAAATTACACCTTTGTGCAGAGAAAAAGAAATTTCTTATCCATCACATGCTGGACACATGCGTTTTTTTCCCTTTCTGAAGGGTTTCTGAAAGCATCTCAGTTGCAAAGAACATACCCTTTTCATCTCAGGTTCCAGTGACTCAGTATTGCTTACATGACACTGACTTCCTGATAGAGGCAGAGATCATTCTTGACCAAACCCAAAAAAGTATCACAACAAGAGCCCAGGGTCAGGGTCACACAGTGGATGCTGGAATTATGAGAGGTTTGTCAGGTAGGAATTGGAGCCACAAAAGAAACAATTTCTGCCAGCAACACCAGCAGAGGCAAAAAAAAAAAAAAAAAGAAAATGCCCTGGCTTCTCCTTTCATAATTCTCCCATTAGTGTTTCCCATTAGATTCCTAAGCCCAAGTGAAGTTGGCTGTCACAGGAGCCGAGAAAAAGCCACCTGCAGTGTTAGCCCTTCTCCATCAGACAGCAGAAAACAGAAGAAGGGTATAAAATGAATCTCAGGGAAACCAAGCCCAAGATCAGCACACCTTTCAATAAAGTTTCCATCATAATTGTGATAATCTCATAAATTCACTCAACCTAGCTAGGTTTTTGTTATTGTACCAACTGGCTCTAAGATTTCAATTTCATATTAATACTTCTCTTGAGAGTCCCTTGGCCTGCAAGGAGATCAAATCAGTCCAACCTAAAGGAAATCAGTTCTGAATATTCACTGGAAGGATTGATGATGAAGCTGAAACTCATATACTTTGGCCACCTGATGCGAAGAGCAGACCCACTGGGAAAGGCTCTGATGCTGAGAAAGACTGAGGGCAGGTGGAAAAGGGGATAACAGAGGACAAGATGGTTGGATGGTATCACCAACTCAATGTGCATGAGTTTGAGCAAACTCCTGCAGACAGTGAAGGACAGGGAAGTCTGGTGTGCTGCAGTCCACGGGGTTGCAAAGAGTCAGACATGACTGAGCGACTGAATGACAATTAATACTTCTAGACAGGGTTTCAAGTTTCAAAATGAAAGTTCCTGAAACATCAATATCCAGAAGGATAATTCTGCTAGCCTGGTCAAGAACTATCACCTGGTTAACTGAGGTGAGAGGAAGTTTTAGTAAGGTCTATCTTTTATTTTGCTTACAGTGTAATTTGGGGTAATTTAAAAGATGCATTTCCCCCAAAAAATAAATGATCCTTAGAGAAATAAGCACTACATTAGGCAACACTTAGTACAAACTACTTAAAGTTGCCGTCAAGCAGATGCCTCAAATGCACTTTCTGCAAAGCACCTTTTTGTAATCTTTACAGAGATGTTAGATTTTCAGTTATGTATAACTAAATTCATTCCTCCTCACTCAATTTTTAAGGGAAATCAGAGTATGGATACACATTACTTGGTTAAAAAAGAACAAGGGTATTGTGATCAAGAATTGTTAGAAGCCAACCTTAGCATGAAAAAACTCAACATACTGTTTCAGATGCTAAAGAGTAACTGTCAACAACAGTGACTGTCACAGGCTCTGAACTGAAATCACAACATTACATCTGAACATTCAAAAGCGCCCTAATTCTAGCTATTTTGCTAGAATTGTTATTCAAAATTTATAGAGAATTATAAAGCAAAATTCATTCTTTTCAAGCAGCTTTGATAAATTAACTTAATTAAAATACAGGTATCAGTTTCTTAAAAAAAAAAAACCTTAACACTTTCCAAATGGTTATGCAGAACTACTATATACTTGTCTTAATAGAAGTGGCATATCAACAGGTCAAATCATCTGACAAATACCATTAATTTTACTTTACAGACACTTTAAATACTTTGGCCTTGATTTATGGTTTTAAAAGCAAATTATAAAGTTATATAATAATATACATTTATTTCATTATTTTAATAATGCCAATAAATACTATTTTATGTGGTATAGGTGGAAAAGGAAATGGCAACCCACTCCAGTATTCTTGCCTGAAGAATCCCATGGACGGAGGAGCCTGGTGGGCTACAGTCCAAGGGGTCGCAAAAAGTCAGACAAAACTGAGCGACTTCACTTCAGTAACTCACGGAGAAGGCAATGGCAACCCACTCCAGTACTCTTGCCTGGAAAATCCCATGGACGGAGGAGCCTGGTAGGCTGCAGTCCATGGGGTCACTAGGAGTCAGACGCGACTGAGCGACTTCACTTTCACTTTTCACTTTCATGCATTGGCAACCCACTCCAGTACTCTTGCCTGGAAAATCCCATGGACGGAGGAGCCTGGTAGGCTGCAGTCCATGGGGTCACTAGGAGTTGGACACGACTGAGCAACTTCACCTTCACTTTACGTGGTATAGGACACATGACCAAAGAAATCAGAAAGATAGGCTATTCAATATGACAACAACAGTAGCAACACCACATTATTTTGACATGAACAGTCTTAATAAATCTTTGAAGAATCCTTGTAGACTTTTGGGCAAACATAGGTCTCAACAAATCTAGAAAGTAGTATTATGACTTTAAAATTTAAAAAGATAATTTATTTTCTTCTTGAAGATTACAAATTGCCAGTAAATAAGTGCCACTGCAGAATAAACCACCATAAAAAGACTGTAGCTATTTTTAAAATAATGCCACCATTCTGCCATTTATCAAATATAATAAAATGCAGAACACTTGCTACTTTATTCATTGCCTTTAAAAAAAATTAATAGTAGTTTTGTGTGCAAATACTTACCATCCACTCGGATATAATAACATCCACTTTTTCTACAGGAAGACGAACTTCTTCAATTTTTCCTTTTATTAGTGTAATAGTATCTTCAAGTTTATTTAATCTGAAAAATGCCATAATGGACAAATTAAAACAAATTCTGAAAACTACTCAAACTACAAAAATTCTTGGCTACTGTTCTTATTATTTTATAGAACTCAAAGTATGTTTTTTCAAAGTTTTATTTCCTGGCATTATAAACACTCTTTGGTCACTTCATAAATCCCCAAGAATGTTTGTGGTTAATACCACAATACAGCTGAACCAGTGTTTAAAAGTACAGCATGAAAAGAAACTCAAATGCTATTAAGAATGCATGTCAATAAAGTTAAAAAAAAAAAAAATTTTTTTTAAAGGGAGAGGTGGAAACAGACCAGACAACAAAAGTGTATTTTAAAGGGAAATAGTTTGCCATAGCAGAGAGAGTTAGGGCCAGAAGCTTTACGCTGAATTCCAGGTCCTCTAGCACTTGTTAGATAAGTGATTTTCAACAAATTATGTAACATCTCACTGAGCCTGAAATCGTGTGTAAAACAGAAATAGGTATCTTCCCAAACTATTAACACTTCTATTAACAGTCTATTATGAGGATGAGATATTTGTGAAAGCTATGTGCACATCCTCAAGCACTATATAACAGCAAGGTATTATCATGAATAACAATATATTACATGTTACATAAACTTGAAACTTTCCTCCAATCATAAATTATTTAACTTTGTCCAACAGCATTCATTAGATACTTTTATATGCTTGGCCATAAGATTAGCATATGAAAGGGCAGGAGTTTGGGATTAGCAGATACAAACTGCTACATATAAAATGGATACAAACAAGGTCCTACTGAATAGCACAGAGAACTAGATTCAATATCTTATAATAAACCATAATGGAAAAGAATATATAAATATGTATAACTGGTTCACTTTGCTGTACACCAGGAACTAATACAGCACTGTAAATCATGTCAAATTTAAAAATTATGTATCACATTTAAAAATACATAATAAAATATTAAGCACCTTAATACTTTTACTGCTGTAATAACTTACTTATAGTTTATTTCTGATACCTATATTCATAAACATATTACTAGGGAACATGAAAAGTCTTGATCCTTCATTTCCAATTCTTGTAACTTTCATTGCCTTGTTCCCTTGTCCAGGATCTCCTCTACAGTGTTGAATAGAAAAGATGATGGCAAGTGTCCCTGTCCTGTTCCTGAACTTAAAACTTTCAAAACTTCATCAAGTTGTGGGCTGTAGTTTTTGTTTCTGGAGATACAATGTATCATGTTATGATATAACACATTCTAATTCTAGTTTGCTAAGAGTTTAATAATATAGACCAAAAGGATATGGAATTTTATCAAACTTTCTTTCCTGAGATACATTAATGAATTTTTCTGGTTCATTTTCTCAAATTTAACCAAACTTGTATTCCTGGGATAAACTTTACCTTCCAATATATTGCTCAATAGGCTTTCCCGATAGCTCAGAAGGTAAGAATCTGCTTGCAATGTAGGAGACCCGGGTAGGGAAGATCCCCTGGAGAAGGGCAAGGCAACCCACTCCAGTATCCTTGCCCGGAGAAGTCCATGGACAGAGGAGCCTGGTGGGCTACAGTCCAAGGGAGTTGCAAGAGTCAGACACAGCTGAGCAACTCAGCACACACTGCTCACTGAAGTTTTCTAATAGTTTGAATAGGATGTTCTGCATATATGTTCATAAACGACTGACCTGGAAGTTTCTGTTCTGCCTTAGTAGAGTTGTGGTATAAAGGTTATACTGGCCTCATATATGGATGCTTGATTCCTGACAAAGATGACAGAACAAAGTAGAGGGGAAAAAATGGTCTTTGGAACAACTAGGTCATTTTAAACAGGTCAATACTACTACTGCTGCTACTAAGTTTTAAAAAGCTGGACTACTACCTCATACCATATACAAAAACAATGCCAAGTAGATTACAAATCTAAATATTAAAAAAAAACCTATAAAATTTTATACAAGAATATAGGAGAACACCTCCATAAGGATTTTTACCCAATTCACATATAGTGGTAACCATAAACAATGATGATGATACATGAAAACTGAGAATTTCAGTACATCAAAAGATACTTGAGTAAAAAAGCAAGATAGAAGAATTTTGTCATTACATTAACCTTACAAACATTTCAAACACACACACAGAATAAAGACTGTCTACAAATAAATAAGAAAAAGGCCCAACTCAATGGAAACCTGAACAAAAGACATAAACACATATTTCATAGAACAGGAAATCCAAATGCCAATAATCACAGGAAAAAGTGCTCAGTCACATTGACAATCACAGAAATGCAAATTTAAATTTCAATGAAACACTGCTATACAACCAACTGGAAAAAATTCTTAATGGTAGGCAACACCAACTCAAACAGTTATATACTATTGGTAGACGTATAAATTGGTATTACCACTTTGGAAAGCAGTCTGGCAATACCGAGAAAATCTGAAGATATATATTCCCTAAAGTCTGAAATATTTTGTAAATATATACCCACAGATGTGTACCAGGCACATGGACAAAAAAGTTCGTAACAAAATCATTCTAAATAGACCTAAACTGGAAAACACAAAAATTCCTGTCAAGAATAGAAAAGATAAATTGGGATATACTAATCAATGCCATTCTATGTAACAATAAACATGAGTGAACACTAAAAATAATGTTGAACAAAACAAGCTAGACCAAAATAATGCAATAAATGATTAAAGTGAAATATAAAGCAATATTAAGGAAGTGATTACTACAAAAGCCAGGATGGTCATTACCTCAATAAAGCAGGGAGAGCATCTCACTGAGAAAGGACAGATGGAGATGAGAGGAAATCTAAAGTGCTGGAAATATTCTCTTTCCTATTACTTATTTGTACTTATGTTACCACACAATTTATGTGCTATGTACTTTTTAATATGTATATTTCACACAAAAGTTAAAAAGGATGCTTATACATCATATCCGAGCTTTTTAAAAGAGGTATTTAATAAAATTCTCTATAATGGAATTGCTGTAGTTGATTACATTTACTGAAATATTCTATTAAGGTTTAACAATTACAAACACTTCGAAAGAAGCAAAGAGCAATCTTCTTAGAAGATCAAAATGTTCCTACTGCCTTAGAAATATTTTCAGGATGCTCACGCTGAAACAAGACGTGTCCTGTAAAAGGCCATCTGCTCAGGCTGTTTATTGTCTGCTACAAGTCATAATCCTATCTGCCTCAGTAATTACTTGTTGGAATATAAATATAACTGGAAAGATTAAGATTTCAGGGAATACATAGAAAAAAGACAAAAGGCCATAATTCCCAGTGATTCTGTATTAAAACATTGCAACACAGACGTGATTCACAGAGATAATCCCTTTTATGAGCTTGCTCATCTTAATCACCACCTGATTTTACCATTCATGAAAAAAAAAACTATAGATTTTTACTTACTTTTCTTCTCTCAAGAGGCCAATCACTGAACATTACTTTAGCATAAAAGCATTCCAAATGAAGTCTATCTCTGAAAACACCTGCTCAAAAACTAGCACAGGTTTAATTCTCAGAAATACACCACCATAATATAAAGGGTATGTTAAGTAAGTCTCTTAACTAATCCAATAAACACTGAAATTATTTTTCTGAGTGGATATTTTGTTAGAGCAATAATCACTATCCTATATTATTTCCTATCTCAAAAGCAGCAATTTAACTTTTATTTCATGATACAGAGGCATCATCATGAGTAATTATCTGATACTGGGCTTACAGAGATGAGAGAGTCCGTGCACTTAAGAACATGGTCTAAGGCATTCAGAAGGGTAAAGAACACAGGCTTCATAGAAGCTAATATAATAAGACCTTAACTGAGTGACATTCGAGTTTAACCAGAAAAAGACAGAGCATCCATAAAGCTATATATGAATATGGGGGTAAAGGAGGGTGCCTCATCTCTGTATGCACAAACTGCCTGTGTGTATATGTGTGTGTGTATGGAAGACAAATCACAAATTTGAAGAGCTATAAATAGTTTAGTATAATCAGAGCAACAAGAGGCAGCATGTAGTGACAAAGCTGGGAGGCAGTCAGAGGTAATGCTAAGGAGTCCAGTTTTCAGAGGCAATGAGGAGCCATTTCAGGATTTTTAGAATGAGAAAACAGGATCAAATTTGTAATGTACTTCTGCCCAATGCAATTTTGATTAAAAAAGACATAGTCTAGGTTCTAAGGAAGAACATGGTCTAGCAGGGAGACAGACGTGTAAACAGCATAAAGTACCGCCAAGTGTTCATACAATGAACATCTTATCAATTAAATGGCATTTAAAGTTGGTGACACAGATGTATAGAACAGACTTTTGGACTCTGTGGGAGAAGGCGAGAGCGGGATGTTTCAAGAGAACAGCAACGAAACATGTATATTATCTAGGGTGAAACAGATAACCAGCCCAGGTTGGATGCAGGAGACAAGTGCTCGGACCTGGTGCACTGGGATGACCCAGAGGGATCGGGCGGAGAGGGAGGTGGGAGGGGGGATCGGGATGGGGAATACATGTAAATCCATGGCTGATTCATGTCAATGTATGACAAAACCCACTACAATATTGTAAAGCAATTAGCCTCCAACTAATAAAAAAAATAAAATTAAAAATAAATAATAAATAAAGTTGGTGACAAAATGACTATAAAATTCAGCTAGAAGAATACCTAGGTGATAACTATTTTTTTCAAAATGCATATGGGGGTGGGGTGGGGGGAATACCGTGATACAAAAATATACAAGGCATAATATTGTTTTCAGTTCACTATGGCACCCAAACATATGTATTTCTCCTATTCCCCAAGCATGCCGAAATGACAATGAAGTAATATAAAATGTAGTAAATTGATAAATGCACGGAGATTTTAAATGGTAATATCAAAGAACCAAAGATATAATTCAGCGGAGGAAAAAAGGGCAATCAAATCATTTTGGTAAACTTGTGAGGAAGGATCCAGTGCTCAGTGCACACATCAGAAAAGACTAAAGTGCTGCCCAAAACAGATCCCTCTCTTTTCTTCTGAGGCAGATAACAGAAAACACATGCCAATTACCTTTATCAAGTGTATTTCATGAGCTGTCTCCCTCCCAAATGTATAATTTCTGTTTATAGGCATGTAGCTAACATTGAGGACATTTACTGTTTAAAGTTAGCAATAGCTTAGCTTCTGATAAAATGGAAAAAAAAAAGATTAGAGAATAATGGGAATTCAAGCAGAAAGATAATGGGTTTTCAGCAAGCTTTGAATATTTCACATCCTGGGTCTTGAAAATCCATTCACTGATTCAACAAGTATTTACACTGAATACCTGCATGCCTGGTACCCTTCCAGATGGTTGAGGTATGTCCATGAATAAGAGAAAAATCACTGTCTAACCCTGGGGAGCTGATATTCTAGTAAAGCTTACATTTTCATGTGCTAAGTCTTTAAAAAGCCTTACCAAAGTGCTGATAGTGAGATCTCATACCAGGATCAGAGGTAACTTTTAGTTCTCCATTATCCTCTCACATCCTCCCAACACAAAAACATCTTTTTACTCCCTTCCCTCCTTTATTTATTTAAAAGAGAAGAGAGCTGGTAGGGAAATCAACCCGGCCACACTAAGAGAGAGATGACGAGAGCCAAATAACTGAGCTGCTACTGCTAAGTCACTGCAGTCGTGTCCGACTCTGTGCGACCCCGTAGACGGCAGCCTGCCAGGCTCCCCCGTCCCTGGGATTCTCCAGGCAAGGACACTGGAGTGGGTTGCCGTTTCCTTCTCCAACGCATAAAAGTGAAAAGTGGAAGTGAAGTTGCTCAGTTGTGTCCGACTCTTCCCGACCCCATGGAATGCAGCCTACCAGGCTCCTCCGTCCATGGGATTTTCCAGGCAAGAGTACTGGAGTGGGGTGCCATTGCCTTCTCCGAATAACTGAGCTACGTATGTGCAAATGCATTAATTCAGTTAAGTATATAAAAAAATACAAGAATGTGAATGAAGGCATAGATTTAAGTTACATCAACAAGTAGAAGGATGGATTTGAGAAACAGCAAGGATACTCATGAGGACTCTATCTCCAGTAAGTCTGCTGGTAAAAGAGAAGGAAAGGTCAAGTATCAGCCCCAGGTTTTCAATTTTAACCTGTGAGAAGAATTAATGCAGGTCTGTTCCCTTGGTTCTTATCTCTGTAACCATGGCAATTCTTGATCAAACTCTAAA